GAGGAATGTGTGTGAAGAGAGAATAATTGTAATTGTAAATTAAGTTCAGTTTTGACCATAAAGCTGAAATTAAGCACTCATATATAAAAATAAATTTTATGTTACATTTCCGAGTACGTTTTGGTATTTTAATGATAAAATGAATAAAATATTGTGATAAAGATTTAATACAATGGATGGCTAAGATGAATGGTTGTCAAGTAACAAATTAATTTTGTGAAAACGTCATTTAATAATTTCACAAATCTTCTATATAATATGTTATTAACTTATTTTTATTGAAGATATGCAGTTGCTTTCGTTCCCATCGTCAGTACTCCAGAATGGAGTGTAACTCAAAGGATACAGAACCCTCCTTAAAATAAATTTGTCTTCCGCCGAAAAAAGCTCAGCCACAGCGCTCCCGAACCATCCGAACGTTCGAGAAGTTATCGAATCGCGTCACGTTTAAACAAGACCCCTGTTTCGCTAACTTGTTCAGCTGAAAACGACTTAAAAGCGTCAACTTCTTACCCGCCCGGTGCTGCGCAACGGATTCATTAAAGTTAAGGGCACGGGTAGCTGAAAGTTGGTAAAGGGGCCTCTCGGCGCGGAGCGATCAGGTTGACAAACGGGCTGTAAGTAGCCTAATCGAGTCTCCGGCTGCCAAGCAAGGGAACGGAGGGTGCGTTCTTGTAGGAGGGTTGAAGAGGAGATGCCGTCGGCCCGCCCGCATTCGGATGTCGTCTCTGACAAACAACCTCCTCCTTCGATGATTAAATTATTCCTGAAGATATCGTCTCCGCGTTCGTCTCATTTATCACAATTATCACATCCGGAAATTGAAATACTTACGGACGTTTACGTAGCACAAATGCCAGCAAAATTGTTTTATTTTAAGGGATATTATTACCACTGTTTAATACATTTTTAGGATTTCTTTTAGGAAAACAGTAATCGGTATAACAAATCTGTTTCAAGATACAAATTTTCGCAACAATATACAATCAATACTTTTAACTCTACAATTATTTAAATAAAATACAATTTTGATAATATAGTTTCGTAAGATCGCAAACTTAATGAATTT